GGACAAGGGGGAGGTGGGGTCAGGAAATCTGGAGAGGAGTCTCTGCTCTCCCAGAACTGCTCCAGGGGCCTTTCAAAAATTCTGTTTGTATCTGGTTACATTTTCAGGTGTGTAAACTCCTTGAGACTCTGACTTCATGTTCACTTGCTGTTTTACTGCCCTGGGTGAAAGCTCATGGGTTTGTCTCAGAGATGATGGGAATTTCTGCTGGGTGTTCTCTTTTCCTCTCCCTGTGCTCGAGAGCTGGGAGCCAGAGAGCCAGACTGTGCTCTCAGACCGTGCTAGGAACACCCCAGGCCTTGGGAGTTGAACCCCAGGCCTCTGCCACAGCTCTGAACTCTCCAGCTGAGCCTTCAGACTGGCCAGATTTTATTCTGGCTCTTGTGACTTGGCTTGCTTGGTTTGGTTTGGTTTTATCCCCTCTACTTCTGTATTTAATTGGCTCTCCACCTTCTTACCCAGACTTACCCGCTTTATTTCACCTTTTAAATGAAACTCCTGCTTCTAAACCCTGTCTCTGAAAACATAGAGATGTTCTAACCCTTCCTGGCAATTCTAACCAGCCTCTCTGCTGTCTTTGCTTCTTTACTCTCTCTCTCTTCTATGCTGCAGAAGATACTAACCTGATATCAGGCTTTGATGCTCCTGAGGGCTCTGAAAAAGTGACAGAAGATGAGTTTGACCCAATTCCAGTGTTGATATCCAAAAATTCACAAGGTAAGCCAGGATGTGGGGGTGAAAAAGGGAAGGAGAAGAGGAAAGCAATGAACATACAGATTAGTTGTGGGGCAGTGGTGCTGCAGGATGTGTGACCAGGCCAAACCCTAAACTGTAAGATCCCATCAGGGTGGTTATTTAGTGAGCTTAGTCTTGTCTCTGAGATACACTGGCCTTGAAATTTCTGTGGGTTCTCTGTTTGGGAGAGGATTCCATGTCCAAAAAGATTAGAAGATTTCAGATCCCATGAGGTTGTTTCTCCCAGCCTGCCAGGAGAGCACAGACAGCTCTGGTGCTGTGAGAACTCTGCCCTCCCACGTTCTCATTTGCTGTCCAAGCCAGTAAAGGAGATCCTTTGGCTTGAAAGAGAGCTTGGCATGAGGAACAGGGAACAGAGATGATGATGAGGATGAGGATGATGATGATGATAATCCTTTAGAATCCCAAAACTCCTGCTGAAAGGGAGGTTTTTTCAACTCTGGTGTCCTCCAGGGGTGCTTTTGGGAGCTAAGGGAGTGGTTTGGTTGATGGTCCCCAGCTCCTCTGAAGGGCTCTGAGCAGGAGAGTCCGTGGGACTTCAGCCCGTTGTGTCCCCCCAGGCCCCTTAAGGTGCTCTTGGCCAGCACTTTCAGCCTTACAGGGCTCTGGAGAAGCAGCAGCAATTTTGGCTTAAGAGCCACAACAGTGCTGTGTTTTTAGCTCCTTAGGGGCAGAATCAGGCAGCATTTCCCAGCCTAGCTCAGTGAAGTGGGTCCTGTCTCTGCAGTCACACTGTTGAGAAGTTCTGATTACAGCTTCTGATGTGCTGGTGGAGGTCTAAAGACAATTCTAGCGCTCTTCTTTTTTTTGTTTGTTTTCTTTACCTTTTTTGTTTGTTTGTTTGTTTGTTTTCTCAGTTTGATCACAGAACTTTTTGGCTTCCCTAGCTCCCAGTTCTGGTCCCAGCAGGAATGTGCTGTGCCCCTGCTCTGCACCAGTGTTGGCCTTCAAAGACTCATTAGAAACAGTTCAGACATTACAAACCCTGCTCCTGCTGGAAGTCAGAGGAGATTTGTCCCAAATCTGGGCCAGGATGGGCTGCCTTGAGTCCAGAGAAGCATCTTGAGGGGTTGGAACCAGATGGTCTTTAAGGCCCCTTCCAACCCAACCTGTTCTGGGATTCTTTCCTTAAGTACCCAGGTCCCAGTTTCAGAAACCCCCATGAGAGCTCAGCTCTCCTGGAACCCAAGCTGCAACCCAAAGATGCTCTTAAAATAGAACTAAATTTCAAGATTTCAAACTCTGAACAGTCTTTAGGTTGTGGGAGTCCTTGTAATTGCTTTAGTGACCCTTTAGTAAGGACAGGATTCTGCAACCTGGATAAATGTCGGGGAAGGAACTGGTTTGTAGGGATTTGTTGGCTGCTGTGTTGGTTTGGTCTGGGGGGAGAGGGTGGAAGAGCAAGGAGGGGATGTTGTTGCTGTTGTGACAGTAATGAGAAGAGCTCGAGCAAATTTTCTGCTTTGCTTTGACTTTTTCCTTTCTTGCTTTGATTCTTGAACTTGTGAAACTGTCGTGTGTGTGTGTCCTGCTCAATACTGAACTCCTATCTCTCACACTTTCAGGTGGGCATTCTAGAAACAACAGTGGAAGCTCTGAGTCCAGTCTTCCCAACATAGCCAGGTCTTTACTGCTGGTGGATCAGCTCATAGACCTGTAGCAGTGGCACAGTAGCAGCTGCAGTTTCTGTACCGTACCCAACCCTCCGGTTCCGTTGCCAGAAGAGTTTCCTCCCGTTGTGCTTCTTTGGGGCTTTGCTCTATTCTTTTTTTTTTTTTTTTTTTTTTCTTAATTAAAAGAAAAATCTGCCAACAGGAGACAGTCACCCACCTTTCTCCCTGTCTTCCCACGGCCTGGGAAGGATTCTGTCTCAGTTCTGCAGGCAGCCTGTCCTCCCTAAAGCTCTGAGCGCCTGCTCTGGTCCCTCTGCTCCTGCCCCATGTCCAGGGAGCACCGTGGGGAGTCCTGGTCAGGGCACAGCAGCTGCTCTGTGACCCTGCCTGCAAGAGCCTCCTCCCTCCCTAGAGCAGGGGGGAACAGTGGGGTGCCTCCTCTGCTTTGGGGTTTGGGCTTGGTCCTGTTTTCCCTGGATGGGCAGGAGGAAGGGGCTGGGGGACAGTGGTAGGGATGTCCCTCACCTGCAGGACCCAGGTCAGGAGAGCTCATGGCTCTGACTTGTCTTCAGAGGAGGAGGAAGCCCTGAGCTCCTCTGAAACAGCCCAGCCCATACTCTGGTGATGGTGCAGATGAAGAGTTTTCCAGCTGCCCCCAGCCCATGGTTTGCTGTTTAACAGTCCTGCTCGGGAATGAACTGCACTTCCTGGGGGAGGGAAAACCAGGAAAAAGGAAAAGAAAAAAAAGGAAAAAGCCCAGATTGTTAAAGCTGCAGACATGACCCTAGGTGAAACGTAACAAGGTTTTGAACCAAATCCATGTGAGTATGGCTGTGACTGGCATTTTGTTGATCTTTTTTTTTTGGGTGAAAAGGGCACTGTGGCAGCAGCAGATGTATTTTCTGTGACTTCTGTGTTTGACTGGAAAGAAAAAAATCCCCCCCAACCCACTGTAAATTGTGTATGAAACAAATTGTCCTACGGTTGTTTTGTCTCTTCTCAATCCCGGTTCTGGTCAAGCATCTGGTATCTGTTCTGGGTTCTCCCTTTTCTCTCGTGACTGCTGTAGTGCTCCCCAGTTCAGTGCAGCCCCATCTGTTGCAGTGGAAGAGGTTCCCTTGGGCCCTTCTCTCCTCCCCGGTCTGTGTGACCACGCATGGCCTCGGTTCAGGTGGTTTGAAGTCAGTGCTGCTGCAGCTCGCTGGGGTCTCCCTTTTCTTTCTCCCTCCTCACGCTTAGTTGGTCCCCTCCGCTGGATCCGCTCGGCTCCTCCTCCCCGGCTCGGCCCGAGGGCCGGGGTTTCTCTCTCGTGTTTGAAAGCTCTCTCTGCCCAGAAGGACTGTGCCCCTCTGTAGTGGAACCCTGCCAGCTTCCCGCTCCCCCCGTGTTTGTGTTCGTAGCTGTGTTAGTGCCAGTGCAGTTCCCACGTGCGAAAGTGCGAGCGACCGAATGTCTGTGCCGACCTCGCTGAGAAGGGAAGAAACCCAAGTTTGTGACTCCTCCTTTTCCTCTCTCCATCCCCCCCCCAAACACTCAGTTGAACCAGTTCTGTACATAGATCTCCCATCGGTTGTGTCTCTACATTACTCTTCTTTTAAAACCTACACTTAATAATAAAAGTATTGCTTAAGTGTGTTGTATCATTACATGTGTATACTGCACTTTCCAAGAGAAGCTTTACATGAGAACTATGGAAATGACCTTAGTAAAATTGTGGATAGAACTTTATTATTTTTTTGTTTTATATTCCTAAAGCACAGGCAAGCTGGACTGGAAAACATGAAGACGCTATAGATAGAAAGTTATTGTATAGTCAGATACTGAGATTATATGAAAAGAGAATGGATTTTAAAAAGTAACCATCTACTGTATATTAGAAACAAAGATTTCTGTGAATTAAAGTACTTTTAAAGAATGTTTAAGATTTTAAATCTAATGGCGCTTGTTCAAGGGTTCTGGAAAAAAATGACAAATGCACTGGGTTGTTAATAATGCTATTAAATAAGCAGATGTGAATGTTTATTTTATTGCTTTTTCAAGTAGCTGTTCGTGGGTGTGGGTGGAAATACGATGTTTTAGAGGTGTCTGTTCTTAGACCTCCTTCATCAGCAAATACTCGCCACGTGTTTGCAGAGTGAATGGGAGATGAGAGGTGAGATGAGTGGAGATTGGGGATTCATTTTGAACTGCAGGGGCTGTGGCTGTCCCACAGGCACTGGTCAGTGGTGGTGCTGCTCAGAACTGGGGAGTTTGTGTGAAAGCTGCTGCCAGGGGGGACAAACTGAACCTCCTCCCGTGTCCCTGTGGGACACTTTGGTGCCTGGTGTTTCCCAGCTGGTGTAAGAGTGAGGCTGTTGTAGCCTGGCCTGGGTGGGACAATCTTGGCACCGTTGGCTTTGTGGCAAACCTGGGTCCTCCTGCAGCCCACTCACCACAGGTGAGGGGCAGCTTGAGCCAATCTGTGGAGAGTAAAGTTACTTTTAGTGGGGGTTTCTTGCAAAGGAACAAGGATGGTGTTCCTTGGCCTGAAAGCTTGCAGGGTGTTGTCTCCAGTGGTTGTCCAAAAACATCTTATTTGCAAATTGTGTTGTTTTGTTTAATTTGTTATTACAGTGAAAGTTCAGGTGCAATTCAGAGCAAAGGCAGAGTTCAGCAGTTTTTGGGGTATCCAGGCCAAGGTGAAATGTGGAGCTTGTGGGTCTCTGACTGCAGGAAACGCCATCGGGCGCCCCGTGTGCTGCAGCTGCAGCAGCTGGAGTGGGGGCATGGGGACATTGGTATCTTTTCAACCCAACTTTTCTAGTTGAGGAGCTCCCCTGGGAATCAGTCAGAGCTGGGGAGTAGCTGGCTGTGGGGGAGGCAGGGGTGTGACTGATGAGTGAGGTGATGCTCGGCTCAGTCACCGGCAGAGGGGCAGGGTGGGTTCCCCGACATCTGTGCTGAGGTGTGTGGGCACTGCACACTCAACTGCTCCCCTCCAGCAGGAAACACGGACTGGGGGGGTTAGAAAAGGGTTTGTTGTACTTGTTTGTTCTCCTGTGCAGCCCCTGTGCGTGCTGGGAGGAGCCCTGGTCAGAGCTCTGCAGCTCCACATCCTGCTGTTCCCAGGAGGAAGGGTGGGCTGCTCCAGGGACAGCCCTGGGGTGGGACCTGCCCTCCTGCCTGGCTCAGGAGAGAGGTTCACCCTGTGGAACTCGCCTTGTGTGTTCCTTAGAAAAGAGGACTCACAGCCATAGCTCTGGTTTGGGCACAGCACAGTGAGGGGGGAGCACAAGGATGCTGTTGGTGTCCAGGGGGTCAGTTTGGGAACTGCTGGAATGTGGGGTTTGGGCTTGGTTTAGCTGCTGCCTGGTCTCACTGTCACGGTGCAGATGGCTGTACAGGAGGGCATTAATCTGCAAGTGCAGGCCCTGGCTGTGCCCTCAGCTCTCCCCTGTGTGGTGGCTCTGGGCAGGAACATGTAGAGCTGTCTGGACTCTGCAGTGACACGGGTGACACCCACCTCTGGTGCCCTGCTGTGGTACCTCCTTGCTGCAAGTGCTGCCTGGGGGTGCTTCTGTCTTGCGTTCAAGGGGATTGCTTCTAGGAACTGGGATGCGAGGAAAGACTCCACTGTGCAGGAACGAAGGAAGGAGAAGTCTTTTGACCCTCTTTAAATGGCAAACTACTAATCCTGCACACTGGTAGTTGTGCTGATCTTTGGCTGCTGTTGCTGCTGAGACCTCCCTGACTTTGGCTTGAAATCTGGAGAGTTTTCTGTCTCCCCTGACTTTGTTTGGACTGTGCTCTAGAAGTGAGGTCCTCATCAGTGTGGTGACTGCTCTGCCTCCTGTCATAGGGAGTGAATGTTTTCTAATTTTCCTCGTGGTTATTTCAGTACTCTCCCACTTCTAAGGCACTGTTTTCCTTGGAAGTTGGGGAAACTCCAGGGGTCAGGGCTGTAATCTGGGGTAAATGGCCTTTTCTTCAGGTTGCTGTGTGGATACACAACAGGTGTATTTCTGGGGTACTGAGTGATAAGTGGTTTTATTTTTAAGGTGCTCCCTGTGGAAAGAGAGCTTGAGTATAGTTTGGGATTTTCTTTAGTACCTATATCTTACCCTGAAATAAAATTCTACACACCACTGTTGTACAGGGGTGGGGAGAACCCTCATCTGTAAGCTCCAGCTTCTGTAAAGATCTGCTGCTGTAACGCTTGTGGCTGTTTGCATTCCTTAAACCTGAGCACTAAGGCAAACCTGAGGGATGCTTCCCCATGGAGGAACACCCAGACAAGGAGCTTCCCAGTGAAGGTGCCTGTCTCAGGGTAGGCAGGTGCTGGGAAATGCTGCCTCTGCCACAGGGACACCTCTGTGTGAGGGGTTGTGGTGCTTTGTGTGTTGGCCCAGCAGATCCAGGCCTGGTTCTTTCCAGGCCCCTTGCACAGCAGGAACAGGGCCCAGTCCCCGTGGGGAAGGGACAGGGCTCCAAACCAAAAGGCACTGCCCTAGTTTGATGGGATTTAGACCTGGATTGACCCCTGCTGTCACCAGGCTGTGCAGTGACCCCTTCTGTCCTTCCCTGTGACACAGAACAAGCTGTGTCTGGTTTGGCCATCCAGGCCTTTTCATGTGGAACTGTCCCTGGAGCGTCTCAGCCTCACTGGTCCCTGATCAGCTCCCTGCTGGAGCATCCGAAATTCCCTGTTGTCCTGAGAGTCAGGGACACGAACCTCTGGAATGGTGGTCTGCCAGACCCTTAGTTATGGCTGCTTATGGGAAGCACTAGCCTCGTCTCTGCCCTGACCTCACGGGGGGGTTGAGTTTGGTTGGGTTGTGTTTCAGTGGCAGCGTCAGCTCAGAGCCTTTTTTATTGTCTGGCAGCAGCAGCTGTGAGGGTGTCTGGGCCACGCACACAGGTGTTTGCTAAGGTAAAACACTGGGATGACGTTGTCTTCCTTGTTGTAGGGATGCTGCTATAGCTCCTCCTGGGACCGTTCCTTTGCCTTCTGCCAAAGGAAATGCTGAGGGAACCAAGGAATGTGGGAAAGAAGGTGCTGAGATCAGTTATGGTGGGAGGGGTCTGCAAATGCCAGGTCTCCCTTGCTCAGGATCAGTCATAGACCCTGGCAGTGCAGTCGGTGCTCCGGTCCTGTGAGTGGATTCCCAAACTCTCAGGTGACATTTTACCATCTCTGTGCCCATTTTTGTTGTGCTCAGATTATCAGGGCCCTTCCTTTGTGGTATCGCCCGGCAGCTCTGACTGAAATGGCTCCTGCTGATGCCTCACTTAGTTTTTATCTCCCGGAGTAACTCCCAGCTCCTGCACTGGCCTTGGCCAGGGAGAAAACAGGCTCTGGGCATTCAGTGCCCTCCTCACTTAGGATGGGCAGAGAGAGCACTGGAAAAAGCAATTTTTCCTGAAACAGAGCGCTGTGCCTCTCGTCTGGTGCCTCCCCTTCAGAGGCATGCGCTGCTCCTGCCACCGCTCTCTGACTCTGTCCCAGACATCACAGCTCACGTGGGCACAGCCACCTGCTGACACACATAACCAGCCAGGGAATGCCAACCAAAGGGTGTGTTTGTGCTGTTCTCCTGCCGAGTGGGGCCCTTGGTTTGCACTGGCATCATGTTCTCTGTGCTAAATGCCTTTTTCCCTTGGTTCCTTACTCTGCAGTTCAGTGGGGAATTGGGAGGCATTTGTGTGACGTGGCAGCTGCTCTTGCTCTGCCTCAGCCTGTGTGCCCAGAACGTCCCAGTAAGACCTGGGCCGTGTGTTCTGTGATCCCAGAGTGGCATCTCAGGGCAAACCACTGCGACAGCGGAGGCTTCAGGAAAGACAAGAGGGTATTTTTGTAGAGCAACTGGTCAAATGTTCACGTATCTGCACTGTCTTTATTTAGCAGTGTCATGTATCCAAGTGAAGAGTTTCCCAATAAACACTGGTTTTGATGCCTAATGAACGACTGCTGTGTCTTTAATTGTGAGAGGTGGTGGAGAAGGGGATAACCTGTGTCTGTCCATGGGCTCGATGGAGCAGTGCCTCGAGGGCCGTCCTGGGTGTGTAAACATGAACCACTGGGCTGGGCAGAGCTTCCCCTGGGTGAGGAGGCTGCTCTGGCACAGCAGGGTGTGTTGGGTCAGTGCCCTGCTGTCCGTGGGTACCAACTGGCCTCCTCACCCTCCTCGTTCTTCCTGCAATTCCTGCTGCTTAGTTTTCATGTGATTTTTTCCTGTCCTCTTGCTAACATGAGTCCAATGACACCCTCCCAACCTGCCAGTAGTTCTGTGAAGGTAAGAGATCTTCTGTTCTGTCTGTGTGAGTCGTGAGGCAAAACCAACTCTGGAGAAGGGCAGGGCGGCCTCTCCCTGCACTGTCTTGTTATCAAATCCAGAAACAAGCCAGGCCATTGTGGTTATGATCCTTGATTTGAAGTCAGGGTATGGATGTTTAAAAATCCTTTCTCTGGCAGTGGTTTAAAGTGATGCTGCTGCAGTTACCGGGAGTCACTAAAAGCTGTTAGGCTGACCTTCAGTCTTTGAAAGGGACGTGTTATTTTAGCAGACTGAGGGGCACCCCCGTGTATTGCCCAAGCCTGAGTGCAGCTCCACGTACCCGTGGGCTGGCTCACAGGAGCAGAGGCCATGCCAGGCGAGAGCTGTGCTCAGAGGGCGCTCAGCAGGGCAGCAGGCGGTGACAGACCTGGTCTGTCTGCTCTGGGCAGCAGCGTTAGGCCGTGCTGGTCGTCGTGGGGGGAGGTGGCGCGGGGTGGTGCTGAGAGTGCTGCGTGTGCCCCATGCGTGTGTCAGACATCCTCCACCCGTGAGCAGCGGTGCCTGCGTGTCCCCAGGCAGGGTCAGTTGTGTGTCAGCTCCTGTGTCGTCAACGCCTTCCCTGGCATTTTTAGTTCCGTTGGTTTGCCCTCCCCCTCCCGCCCATTTTCCATGCGTGGTGGTGGTGGTGGTTTCCATCTGAACAGTGTGATGTTCTTGTGTAATAAGCACCTCTCATTCTGATGGACGGCCGAGAGCTTGGAGCTGGTGGAGTAACACTCTTGTCTTGTGTTCGTAGGTGTGCAGAGGGATCCAGGCGTGTTCCCAGCGGCAGCTCTGGAGCTCTGTAAAGGAGATGCTGGCACTGACGGACTCGCTTTGTACAAGGGCCAGTCCAAGATGCTGGAGGTGAAAGTGCAGCACAACTCGGAGTCGGAATATTTAGCCAGAGATGGCCCTTCGAGCAACAGCTCCTTCTACAGCAGTGAGGGAGAGGGGACAGACCATGAGGGAGATATTCTGGATTGCAGCGGCTCCAGGCCTTTACTGATGGATTCGGAAGAGGAAGAGGAGACGTGCAAGCCGTGCCCAGGGTTCCTGCAGCCTGTGCCCAGGGAGAGGCACGAGGCCTCCAAGGGAGATCCCCACTGCCAGTCCAGAGCAGGGGAGATGCTGTTCCCAGCCTTCCAGTCGCACTCCGGGGAGGCTTTCAACGAACCGGATGTTTTCGCCACGGCTCCTTTCCGAAGCTCCAGGAAAGTGCCCGACGAGGGGGACGTCTTCACCAAAGCTCCTTTTCTCTCCAAGGGCAGCGCGGCTCTGCGACACCCAGAAGAAGCAGATGTGTTTCTGAGAGCCCCTTTCACCAAGAAGAAGAGCGTGGAGGAGTTGACTTCCCATAAGGAACCGTTCACAGCACCCGTTTTCCCGAGCCCCGGGGGCGATGGCCGAGCTCAGCCGCGGTTCCCCAGCCTGGAGTCGGCAGCACACGGGGCCTCGCCGAGGGCTCAGTATCCTCCTGCCGGCTTCTCTCAGCCGGGCAGTCTCCACCCCTGCTCCGGGAGAGCCGTGGAGGCCCAGGAGAACGTCCCTGCTCCAGGAGGGCTGCCGGAGCAGGGGGACGCGGCTGCTGAGAGGAGCCACGCGCTGCCCCCGGGGGACAAGCCCTTCCGTCCGCAATCCCTGGCCAAGTATTCCCGCCACTACAGCCCCGAGGACGGGCCGGGCCTCGAGGCCAAGCCCATAGCTGCTTACAAGGTGGTGTCTCAGACCAACAGACAGGCCGTAGTGGGCTCTGTGTCGGTGGCCCCGCTGCCTTCCAGGACTACGGAGCTGCCCGGCGCGGATCCCTTCGCCTCCGCGCCCTTCCCTTCCAAAGCGGGGAAGCAAAAGCCTTAAGGTGCTGGGACTGGGGGCTGTGCTTCCTGCAGGGCACCTCCTCACACAGGACCTCTGACCTCTTAGTGGAAATGAATGACATAGCAATATATATGTATAAAATAATGATTATTTTTGGGCGGAACTCTATTTGCAGTGATAGGTAGTTGGACCGTTCTAAGTTATGTTAGTCTGAATGCCTGGCTCTCAGGATCCTCACAGCCTTCCTCACCTCCCTCCTCTCACTGTCTTCCCTCCATTTATTTTTTTAGATGCTTTTCCAAACTAGTAGTGTTCCATATTTTCTGGTCCTGGCTAGAGAAATGCATTATAAGATGAATTAAAAGGTTTATTAATTACAGAGCAAGTCAAGCAGGGCTTGCTAATGCTCTGGAAAGGACGTGATTTTCCCAGGTTAAAGGGCTGCTGTGACTTCCTTGCCGTCAGTGACATTCCTGCTGCTCAGCAGTGGTGTGGCCGTGGCTCTGGGTGGGTGTTGGTGGGTGATGTGCCCACCCAGCCAGAGCCCTGCAGAGGTGCCTGGTGCCAGCTGGTGCAGTGTGGTGGCAGCAGAGCCGTGGCTCTGCTCACCCTGCTGTGGGACACGTGGCAGCGCTGCCCGGGCTGGGGCCACACGAGGCAGGGAAGGACTCACAGTGCCTTCAGCCTCGTGAACTCCAGTGAGGCAATCGGGCTGTTCCTGCTGCTGGAAAATGGAATTATTGCTCAAACAATCAGGCGAAGCTTTCTCTTTTACACGTGTATTTCCTGTCTGGTCTATGCCAAAGTGTAGGACCCGGAAATCTGCTCATGGTGAAGGAGAGATGTGTATTTACAGTATTAAAAATAGACCTTTGGGGGAAATCCCTGGTGCAAACAGCTCCATAGCTGTGCTGATGTACCTCATGTGGTGTGACTCGGCCCTGGTCTGTACTGGCAGAGCTTGGCTCAGAGTAAATTCTGCCTTTTGTTTTCCTGTTGATTAAGGATGAACTTAAACAAAATCCATTCGCTCTCCTTCCGAAGTATTATGTTTTCTATCCCAATCCCAAAGAGAAGGAGAAGTGCTTGCTGTGTGACCAGTCAGGGTGGTCAGAGGAAGAATCACCCAGGCAGGGACTGGGCAGACCCAGAGCAGGCTGTGCTCCCTCACCAGTGTAGGACAGAGAGGAGAGGGAAACCTCCCCTATTTATTGTGCAGAATGCCTGGTGGCATAAGTTGTCCTGGATCTGCTGTTTCTGGCCTGCAGATGCTGCCTGTGGGACTGGACTGGCTCTCAAAGACCTGGTTGTCGGGGCTCTGTGGGATCCCAGTCCAGGCTCCCAGTCCAAGCTGGAGCCTTGTGCTGAGGGTGAAGGACACACTTTGTGTTTGGGGGTCTCCCACGAGTGGGTTTGTGCTCTTTGGGCGTTTGCAGGGGAATTGCTGGAGCCGTGGGTTGGTCTCTGAGGTCAGGACTCTGAGGTCAGGCTGTGTATGCAGAGCAGGTTCCTCCCTGTCCTCTTGCTGAGTGTTTGTACTCAGAGAGCAAGCCCTGTGAGTCGTGTCCCTTGGAGAGAGGGAAGGATCAGCTGTAGCTCCTCCTGACTCGAGTCACACCTTGAGGAGCAGCAGTATAGTTTGGAGAGGAAAAAACCCTGAGACCCCCTCCAGCACACGGCTCTGTCCGCTGTCCAGTAAGTGTTGAAAGAATGCAGGAGGCACAGAAACGACGTGTATAAAGACCCCTCCCTGAATTCGAATCCCCTCCAAGATATCTCCAGTTGCAGGAGGCGAGCCAGGTGTTCTGCTGGATGTGGGGATTGCCTGGAAGTGAGAGGGAAGTGCTTGGGCTGAGAGCCCTGGGCTGGGGAGGGAGAGTACTGGAAAGGGGGGAGGCCACGCTGGTTTGCACAAGTTCCTGGTGAACAGTGACCTGCTGAGCCCAGGTCAGGGGGAGCTTGTGGAGCTTATAGAGCTGGGAACCTTCTGCCCTGCTCTGCTGCACTCACAGCTAATGAGTATTGGTGCATAGTGGTGGTTTAGGGGCTCTCTGTCCTCCATCACCACCTCCTGGAAACAGAAGTACTGTAAAGAAGTTTCTGGGTTTCCCTTGACACGTTTATTCAGCAGAGCTGAGGCTGTTTGTTATGTTTTGTTGTTTAGTTTTCTGTTTAAATATACACCCAAAAGGTGGTTGGCTTTGTTTTTTGTTTCAAACCTCTGTATCCCCAAGTTGGTTGTTGCTGGATGGGGTCAGTGAGAGGCACCGGCTGTGACAGCAAACTGTGAATTCCAGGAGAGGGGGCGGGAGGGCCCAGATTTGTCCCAGCACCAACCTGTGTGGCAGCCACACCGAGCCAGGAGGCTGCACTTGGCCTCGAGCTGTTCCACTCACTCAGAAGGTGCTGGAAGGGGGGCCAGGCAGTGTGGGATGAGGCTGTGGGACAGGGAGATGCTCTCTGCAGCGAGCGCGTGCTCAGGGTGTTCCCTCTGCTCTCTGCATCCAGGTTCTTCCCGCCCTTCGGTTTTTTTTTACTTGAAAAATTGCTTTTGGATAATTCTGTGAAGTTTCTGTCCTTGCCTCGTCCAGGTGCCACGGAGCTGATGCTGGAGGAGTATTAGCCTGTGCCCCTCGTGCTCAGACAAAGGGAAGGTTGCACCGAGGTGTCTGGGCTCATTTCCAGCCCTGCTAGACTGGGTCAGGCTGAATTTCCAGCTGGCATTTTGGCAGCTTTTTTGTCCTTCAAGCACTTTACACAAATTGCAGGCTGACTGTGCCCCAGAGCTCACAATCCTGCCAGACACATCCAGTGCTTAAATGGTTTTAAATCCCTTTTGGAGGTGGAGGTAGCTTGTTTGTATCTCTGCATGTGGCTCGTAAAGTAATGGGACTTTTGGTTATGGTCAGAAGACTCAATTTCAATGCCTGTTACTCTGATACCCTTCTCATTTCCAGCCTGTGTTCCTCCTAATCCTGCACTGCCACTGCTGCAGCCTCAGTGATGAGTTCCAAGTGGAAATTTCATTTCTGTAGTCTCTGAAGCTTGCTGTTGTAATGTTAAAGCAGGGAAGAATCATGCTAATTATTTGCCACACAACCAGTGACCCTAATGAAGTCAGACTAGTACAGCCTCGGTGCAGTGTTTTGGAATCGGTTTTCTGAGCAGAACCCCTGGTTTCATGTCTTTAGTAAAGCTGTGGTAAGTTGTGTTCACTGCCCTGGGCCCTCGTGCGCGGCCGGAGGGTTTCGCAGGGATCGCTGCGACAATCTGGGATTCCTGCTGGGAGAGGGACTGGTTCTTGTTCTCACCCACTGAATGCACTTCAAGACTCTTTTCAGAGTGATTAATCAGAGTTTTCTGTGTGAATCGAGCGAGCAGTTGGCTTGGCTCTGTGCTCACTGCCACGACGTTGGTGCAGCACCCTGGGGGGACCTGGACCTGTGTCCTGCCTGGCTCTGCAGCCTTTCGGGCTTTGCCCGTGTCTGCCCTCCCTCCAGCCAGCTCAGTACCTTCACCCCCGGTGTTAAGTTTACAGTTCAGCCTCCTGAAGGCCAGCACACAGCCAGCCTGGGGTGCACACCCTGCCTGGAGCACAGAGGTGATGCTGAGCTCTGACCCCCTGTGTGACACATCCTGGAGCGCGTCCTCGCTGGGACAGCAGCAAACTGGGCGAGAGCTGCTCGTCTGCTGAACTGTCAGTCACTCCAAAGTGGGAATCGGTTCCTTTAACTCAGCTTCCACCAAAGACTCTGTTGTTGGGGAGTTGAATTTTTGTTGGTTTCTTTGTTTGTTTGTTTGTTTGTTTGTTTCCTCATGGTGTTAAATCAAGGCCTTTCAGCACACCCACAGACTCCAAAGCATTTTTACAGTAGTGTCCTGACAGTGAAATCTTGTTCCAGTTCTGAAACACATTCCTGAAGCCTGATCACAGCTGCATTAGTGTTTCTAAAAATAAGCCACGGCCTGTAGTTTCTGTTGTAGGTGGGTAAATCCCCTCACACACACACCCCCTAGAAATGCTCCCTGAGAAGCTGGAGGGATAATGTTGTTCCTGGTCCCCCCAAGGGATGGGGTGGGAGGGCAGGGGCTCACTCCGGTGTAGGGTGCAGTGGGTAGAGCACCTTCCCACGGTGCAGGAGTGAAGGAAACTCCCTTGTCTCCACGTGGAGTGGGAGGGCAGAGCTGGGAGTGTCCCTGGGCCCCCTGCCTGTGACACACAATCTGACCCGTGTCCCTCTCTGCGCTGTCTCTGAGCAGCCTCCTCAGCCTGGCACATCAGCGGGGCCAAGTTTTGCACTCCAGGTGGGATCATCTGTTTCTGGTAATCATGAAGAAATGTTTGACTTGTAAACTTATGTACATTTTATTAAAACACTATCTGATGACACTACGTGGTCTCCTCTGTGCATTCCTTCTCCCCTCCCCATGCAAAATATTTTTGCTGGACACAGAGAATCTGGGTTTTAATGAGTTTCCTCTCCCAAGATGCTGAACTGGGTCTGGCCCTGCTGTTTTCTCTGGCAGCTGTAAAGTCAAACTGATCTTGTTGCTTTAAGCAGTGGATATTCCAGTTTATATCCAGTTTTTATGTCCAGAGAGAGTCCTTCCCACCCAGCGCAGAGCAGCAGCTGCAAACAGCACAGAGCAACTGAGCCCTCCCTGCAGAGCTGCTGCTCCTCTGTGTTTAATGCTGGTGCATCTGGACATCCAGGACTTGGGAGATGCAGTCTCCCTGAGTGCTGGTTGTATGTGGTTCTTCTATATCATTCAGCTGCCAAGACTTAAAAGGGGCTTTGGTAGTGCTTTGGAGGGTGGACTTTGCTTAATTCAATTTCTGTCTTGGTAAATGTGTCTGTTGGGGAAGACTTTGTGCTGCCTTCTGCCCTGCTGCAGATGCTGCTGGTGACACCCAGGTAACAGGAGAGCCTGGGAAGGCTGAAAGCGAAGCCTTTTCATTCTCAGAGCTGCCATATTTCCTTTTTTAATTTTCTCCCCTCTTGAACATGCATCCATGTGTGCACATTAACAGCATTCTCCATTAACGTTGTCTGTAATTTAGTGTTCCCCTGAAAAAGCCACGTTCGAGGTTGAGTTTGTTGAACGTTTTGGGTAGCCTCTAGTGCTCAGGAAAGAAAATAACTACAAATAGCTGTGAAATTTGCAGCCCAGAGCAATGGAGCCCTCCGTGCAAGGCCCGGAGCTGCTGCTGCAGGAGAAGAGGTGCCCAATGAACCCATCCCAGAGAGCAGCTGGGAGGGGAATGCTCCGTGGCCACGTCCGAGCCAAGCTGTGCATGGAGGGAGGAATAACAGGAGCCAGGAAAAGGTTTTGGCAAGGGCCAGGAGAACGTGTGTGCTGGGAGTGCAGCTCCCGCCAAGGTACAGCGGATCCGGTGAGGAATGGCTGAAATAAAGGCTGAGAGTTTGTTCAGAGAACTTTTCTGCAGCCACCCTCTCTGCAGTGTTACTGGGCTAAATTTGACTGGAGAAAAGGAGGCTCAGGGGGGACATAAACAAATTTGCAGATTACACCAAGTTTTGGGGAGTGTTGATCTGCTGGAGGGCTCTGCAGAGGGACCTGGACAGGCTGGATCCATGGGCTGATTCCAAGGGGATGAGGTTCAACCAGGCCAAGGGCCGGGTCCTGCCCTTTGGCCACAACAACCCCCGGCAGCCCCCGGGCTGGGGACAGAGTGGGGGGACAGAAAGGGACCTGGGGGCACTGACTGACAGCAGCTGAACGTGAGCCAGGGGTGCCCAGGGGGGCGAGAGGCCGATGGATCCCGGCCTGGCTCAGGAACAGGGTGGCAGCAGGAGCAGGGCAGGGATTGTGCCCCTGGACTGGGCACTGGGGAGGCCACCCCTCGAGTGCCGTGCCCAGCTCTGGGCCCTCGGTTTGGGGAGGATGTTGAGGGGCTGCAGCGTGTCCAGAGAAGGGCAACGAGGCTGGGGAAGGGGCTGGAGCACAAGTTCTGGGAGGAGCAGCTGAGGGAGCTGGGGGGGCTCAGCCTGGACAGGAGGAGGCTCAGGGGGGACCTTCTCACTCTCTGCAACTCCCTGACAGGAGGGGGAGCCGGGGGGGTCGGGCTCTGCTCCCAGGGAACAAGGAACAGGAGAAGACGAAATGGCCTCAAGATGTGCCCGGAGAGAGCCAGGTTGGACATTGGGAAAACTCCTTCACGGAAAGGGCGGTCAGCTGCCCAGGGCGGGGTGCAGTCCCCATGCCGGGGAGGATTTAATACGCGTGTGGACGTGGCACTTGGGGACGCGGGTTCGGGTGGCCGTGGCAGTGCTGGGGGAGCGGCGGGGCTCGATGAGCTCGCGTCCCTTTCCCCCCCAAACGCCATCCGCGGGGTCCCGGCCCTGCCCCGGCCCCTCAGGGACCGCCATTGCCGCCGGGGCCGCCAGGGGGCGCCGCGGCTGCCGGGCCATGGCGGGCGCGGCCGGAGGGCGCCAAGATGGCGGCGGTGCGGCGGCTGAGCGCGGCGGCGGGGCCGGCCCGGCGGTAGGTGCTGCCCGCGGGGCTCCGCCGCGGCTCCCGCTGCCCCGGCACGGCTCTCTCACCGAGCTTTTTTTTGCCGGAGGGGTCCCCTCTCGCGGGACGGGAAGGGGGCGGCCGTGTCGCAGCGAGCGGCACCGCGACCCCCCGGGGGCCGCGCCGGGCGCTCCTCGCTCTTCCCCTTCCCTTCCCCGCCCCAGCCGGGCGGTGAAGTTTGTTCCTTTTCCTCCAGACGGGCAGGAAGGGACTCTTTCTCCCTCCCTTAGCCCCTTTCCAGCAGCAAGGCGTTAGTTCCCTCTATCTAGTTAGTTGGGTGCTGAGGGCCTTCCCCTGAGGGGGCTCAGCCTTGAGGCCCGGGGGGAGCCGTGACTGAGGGGCCCTTCCCCACCTCAGGACCCTCCAGTGAGGGGTAATTCCACACACACTCGCTGAGGACCCCGCAGTGAGGGGTAATTCCACACACAGCCGCTCAGGACCCTGCAGTGAGGGGTAATTCCCCACACACTCGCTCAGGACCATGGCAGAAGGAGTAATTCCGCACCCCCCGCGTGTGCTCAGGACCACGCAGTGAAGAGCATTTAACCCCCTCACATCTGTATCCTTCCGGCCGTGAAATAAGGCGGAATTCCTCCCAAGTTGCTAAAGATCAAGCAATATGGGGGAATGAATTCATGGGACCCTGCAGTGCTGGGCACAGCTGCCCTGTGCTGAGCTCTAAAATGGGATATAATCATTACTGCCCAAAGCTAAAGGGAGAAAAGAGAACTTTTCTCTTGAGGGATCTTCCTCACATGCCCTGTTGCGGTCTCTACCTGCTTTAAAGAGCGCACAGATAAGCAAATAACACGATTTAGACCTTTTCTGTGTTCCTATCTCCCTCACTTGCAGCAGGGATGTTCATGTCACGAGGCAGAGCTCCTTCCCTGTGCCTTGTTTGAGGAATCTGGGCCTCTTGCAGTGCTCGTGTTGGGGTTTATGAGCCCCAAGAGAACAGCCTCCCCTAACAGTAGCCCCTGCAGGTGATATTTATGTAGTTTACCTGCTTTCCCCTCGTCTGTGCCTGATGAGGAGGAGAGAAACCAGGCAATGATTGATCCTCAGTATGTAGTAATTCATCTGTGACACGAGGGGGGTTCTGGTTTCATTTTCTGACATTGTTTGCTCTCAGACACCTGGGTGTCACTGAGTGACCTTTTTAGCCTGTCTTGTATCTTTTAAGGGTCATGTAGACTCTTCTCTACGTGTCTGAGACCCTTGGGTGTGACCAGCTAAACCCACAGAGCACAGGAGTAAATTCCTGGGTGCTTGTGGTTGGATTGATCTCAGCTATCTGGAATCTTCTGAAAATTAGGTTTTTAGTCCCAGGGAGATTTTCAGGTGCTCAGGACTGTTCAAAGAAATAGCAGAGGCCTCCTCTGGGTGATTATCCTCTTCTGTGATAGGTAAGTAAGGCAATCCGCCTGGTTTTAGTGGCTGAAGGAGTGTAGGTTTAAATTTTTTGGTGGCTAAAATCAGAGAGTTCTGTCTGTTTTGTTAGAGAGGGAGCACTGAAAAGGGACAAAAGGGCTGTTCTGTGATCCAGCCTGCAAACCTGCTGCATTACCTGAGAGGTTTGAGGCAGGTGTGTCCTGCCGAGTCCTGGGGTTGCTACAAGCACCTGAAATACCCTCTCAGTGTGATCTGGAAATCCTTAGCAAAGCTGTTTTCCTCTAGGTTCTGTCAGATGCTGTTCAAGGATCCTAACTGGACAGCCCGACAGCCCTTCCACCAGCTCCTGCCAAAGAAACCAGCTCTGGCACCTGCAGTGTGGCATCGTGCAGGTGAGCAAGAATGAACAGATGAACCAGTTAAAAATGAACAGAATTGATTGGTGTAAATGTTCAGGTTGGAGGATGAGCTTGGTGTACCTGCCATTTTTTTGGTAGGCTGCAAAGCTCGGGAAAGGAAGAAAAATATAATGAACTTGTGAAACTTGTGCCACAGAAAGCACTGTGGTTTTGCAGCTGCCTGAGGAATTTAGAGACTGAAAGATTGTGCAGGTGCTGTTGCATGGAATTAGTCACAGATGGAAACGTTATTTAAATGAGTCTGCTCAGGCAGAAGTCTCCAATACCAGGGAGTCACTCAGAAAAATGAAAATGTCAGCTTTTTTACTGCTTTAAATCCTTCCTAGTGCATGGTTTTTAAATTTATGTGGGCTTGTTTCTTAAGTATAATTTATAAATATTAGCTCCTACAGATTTTTTGGTTTCAAGGGCACTTTTTTTTCTTTCCTGCGTGTTTGTATCTCACTGTGTTACTGGGTGTGCAGGGAGTTGGAAGAAGAATTAGAAGATGAGAGAGTGACTGTCCCTAACTGATGTTCAGCTTCAGTGGGACATCAGGCACGTGCTGCTGGACATATCTACAGGAAAATACTATTAAATGTACACCATTAAATGTGGAGTATTAAATTTTAGTTAAAATCAGGGTTTTTTACAGTCTTCCAGTGAGACAGACCCAGCTGAGAAAGGAACTTCGGTAAAAATGTATCTTTAAAAGAACTTTGCTAGTGAATTGTAAATAGGTTATTGTAAATTGCTTGTTCAGTTCAGTTTTTGGAGGGTAAGTGAAGGCTCACAGTAATTTTTCACCCTGTGGAAAATCTGAGCAGGGTCTGCTTCACCGTCGCTCTTGTTACACTGAGTTTTCTTCTTTATAGTGCTGGAAAACGAGATCCATCAGGACTCTGCTTTTCACTGGAGCTCCGTGGGTTTGCTGATGTTATTTTTCTCCTCTTGTTCTTGTATTTCCAGCGAGGGGCATGTTTATTCAGACTCAGGACACACCAAATCCAAACAGCCTGAAGTTCATTCCAGGGAGGGAAGTGCTGGAGTCGAGGACAATGGAGTTTTCCACGCCAGCTGCAGCGTTTTGCTCACCTTTAGCAAGGTATTGCTGAGCACACCACGATGGGTTTGTGTCTGCAGCTGGTGCTTTGAAGCACGACCTCTGATCATTCTGTGCTCCCCTTCAGAAGCAGCTTGGTGGGATTGGAGTTTTTAATGCTGCTGAAGATTAAAGCTGGGGGTTGGTGTTGCTGAAGTTCTCTGCGTGTCCGTCCTCCCCACAGCTCTGGCATGGCAGAACCATGGGCTGGTTTATGCAGCTGCACTGGAAGGTGTTATAAATCAGTGTCTGTGAGCAGTTGCTGCATCACCAGCGAGACCTCTGGCCCCCAAATTCATTCCCATCAGAACACTCTGAATTCAGGGAGTTACTTGGAAATCGTGGAACTTTTCAGAACTGGGAAACAGGCAGCAAACAGTTCCAAATTACCATGGAATAAATGCAGTAGCTGCCCTTGGCAGGTGTTGGGGCTGCCCTGAGCTTCAGAGGGTTTATGCTTCACTTCAAGGAAGGCCAGGTTTGCCCCCTCTTTTGGACTGGACCTGTGACAGGTCCTGGGAGTACAAATTCTTTGTAGATTGGAAGGGTGGTGGGCAGGAGCAGGAGCTGCTGGACGAGGCTTTCCCTCCAGGAGCTGCAGCTCTGTCTCTTGCAGGGCTGTTTGGGAGCAAAGAGGAGCTTTGTGAGCAAAGCTCATGACTTAAAATCATAAATCCAATGGGAAAGGTTCCTGAGGACATCAGCACGTGTTAGCAGAGGGCTGAAGCTGGAGGATCTCACTTTGCCAAAGTGCATCAGGTTGCAGAATGCCACTGACTGCCAGAAAGTGGCTGTTTGTTGTCATGTATTTGCAAATAGACATTTTAATCAGAGATTATTTACGTGCTGGAATGAGTATCGTGGCAGCTTGGGGGTGGGTATTGTGCAGGTTCTCAGATGGTTTGGTGCACTTGCACAATTGAAAGTGACTTCAAAGTGCTGTAAACACCCAGTGCAACTGTTCCATGTGTAGAAATTCTTTCAAGTGGATATTGTGAACTCTCTTTTGTCCTTTTCCATCACATGTACTTTTGTGATAAGATTTTCAATTCCTTCATTTATTGCATTTTTGATGCTTTGCAGTCTTTCAGGAGAATATCATACCTTTTTTCCCCCCATACGTGCAAAAAACCCTCTTACTGCCTTGTGCTGTGTTTACCTCCAAGTGCATCCTGGTTTTAATTTTTTTTTTTTTATTTTTTCTGTAGATGAATTACACCTAAGCTGTGGGTGAGGTAACTGCAGTTCTTCTTAAAGGCTCTGGGTTTCATGCTTATTTTTGTCTAGAAGTGTATTCTAGAACTTGTGGGACAGGCTGTATAAACCTTGAGTTTGCCTGAAGCGTGGGTGCATTTTTGCCACGTTCTTGTTGTTGTTGTTCCCTGAACAGGCAGTTATTCAGGATTGAAGGAGTGAAAAGTGTTTTCTTTGGGCCGGACTTCATCACGATCACCAAGGTAAGCAGAGCAGAGGCTCAGCTGAGCTGTCTGAAAAGGGCCCCGGGGCAGATCCAGCCAGACCCTGGGCTGGCTGACCTGGGGAATGTTTGCTGGGGACACAGGAGCAGGATGGGAACCTTGTGGTGTTTGCCCAAGGTGTGGAGCTCGTGGCAGAGAGATAAGGAGTTACACAGCACCTGTGTGAAGAACACAGGGCCATTCAGGGAGTGATGATTTGATAATCCTGAGCCTCTGAAACAGTTTGGTAAAAACATCTGTCAAATAACGTATTTAGGAGACTTTCACACCTTTTTAGCTAATATTGTAATAGCACTTGGCTTGCAAACAGGAGAGCTGTTTTGTTGACTGTGATAAGTCAACAATTCTTACTAAACTTCTTTGGCAAAGCTGGGCTTGACAAAACCGTGAAATCAAATCCATCTGTCAAACATGGGAGTCCATGAGGGTATCTGTAATGTAATTTATTGTAATTTATCTGTGTAATTTATTACTCTTAGGGGGCAGGTATTCGTTCTTTCTTTTATTCTTCCTTTTTTTTTTTTTTCCTTTTCATTCCCCTAGGAGAGTGAAGACCTGGATTGGAACTTACTGAAACCAGATATTTATGCAGCTATCATGGATTTCTTTGCCTCTGGCTTGCCTGTAGTCACTGATGAGGCACCCAGGACAGATACAGGTAAATGAACCTTCAGGAAGAGGCCGGGGTCTGCCTTTGGGTGTAGCTTCTGTGACATGCAGAGGAGCCTCAGAAGAGCCAGCAAGAGAATTTAAATCTAAATTTAAACCCTGTCCAGTGGAATTAGCAGCCTAAACTTACCAGTTTAACTCAAGGGTAGTGTTCTGCCTTTTATTTTCTCCATTTGCAGCTTACCAACTTAAAATTTTTTTCAGTGTTTTAAGGAAAATGATGACAATTGAATTCTTTTCTGCTCTGTTATGTCTGAATTTAATTTTACTATTAACATAGTCCTTATTTTATTAAAAAGGTTCTCAGAAATGCTTCTGTGAGTCTAACACTGAGCTTAGAATTGCATCCAGAGCTGCTAAACCCGGACATGTGGATAATTCTCCTGCTGAATTTTTTAGCTTGCTAAAACCTTCCTTCCGAGGACCCTGCCTTGACCCCTGCATCCCTATGGAATGTTAGTTGTTGCTTCCTTTAAAAGGTGGAGTTGCTGCTCTCTGCCAAGGCCTTTGCCTGTTGAGAACTCTGAACCAGTCCTGGGTTTTGCCAGCAAAAGCCTGGGATGCAAATAAGGATAATGCAGGAAAAGATACTCTGAATTAAGATTTCTGCCTTTTGGTTTCAGGCATCTCAGCAGTGCTTTTATGCACTTTTTATGCTTTCATTCTGCCACTGTGGATATCCAGGGGAAGCATTCTACCAGAATCCATGGATATCCAGGGGTAGCACCCTACCAGAATCCATGGATATCCAGGGGTAGCATCCTACTGAAATTCATGGATATCCAGGGGTAGCATCCTACTGGAATCCATGGATATCCAGGGTTATTTACCATCCTACTGGAATCCATGGATATCCAGGGGTAGCATCCCACTGGAATCCATGGATATCCAGGGGTAGCATCCTACCAGAATCCATGGATATCCAGGGGTAGCATCCTACCGGAATCCATGGATATCCAGGGGTAGCATCCTACCGGAATCCATGGATATCCAGGGGTAGCATCCTACTGGAATCCATGGATATCCAGGGTTATTTACCATCCTACTGGAATCCATGGATATCCAGGGTTACTATCCTACCAGAATCCATGGATATCCAGGGTTATTTACCATCCTACTGGAATCCATGGATATCCAGGGGTAGCATCCCACTGGAATCCATGGATATCTAGGGTTAGCTATCCTACTGGAATCCATGGATATCCAGTGTTATTTACCATCCTACTGGAATCCATGGATATCCAGGGGTAGCAATCCTCCTGGAACTCTCTCAAGGTTCTGACTTGCACATCTCTCTTTCCCCAAGCTGCTTCAGAAGAAGATGATGAAGTTGTGCTGATGATTAAGGAACTGCTGGATACAAGGATAAGGTAAACAGGAAACCTTGTTGGCTGAGTGCAGGAACCAGGAACTTGGGTCAAAATCGTGGAAATGATGATGAACTTGGGCCTTTCCATTTTTTTCTTAGATGCTGCATTTAAAGTGATATCACTTAACCTAAAAATTCAGTTTTCTCAGAGCTGACACATGCTGATTAATTTCCCTGAATGAGGAAGAAAAATAGAAGAGAGCTGGAACTTTTGTCCCAAACACACCAAGTACCGAGTGTTGGGAGCAGGATAATGTTGTGGAAAGCTGTGACAGGAACACCCAGGGGACCCTGCCCGTGCTGGGTGCCTGGTTGGTTCAGCTCCCTGAGCTCCCAGTGCCCTCTTGCAACAGGCACAGAATTTCTGCCCAAATTTCTGCCTTTTCTACCTTTTTCTTTCTTTAATTTCCTTCCCCCCTGTACCCCTTGGTGGACCAAGAAGCTGCTGCTGAGAATATCAGCAGTGATGCATCTGCCTTCATTTCATAGCAGGGTAGTTTACAGAGGGTATATATAAACCAGGGTACACACAGAGCATTTATTGTTCAGTCAATCAAAAATACATGCATAGATGTTGTCAGAAGGTGCAGGACGGAGGGAATGTCCATCTGAAAGGTCCTGTAGTGTGTTAAAGTTAATTCAAATAAGAAAAATGGAATTTTTAATCGTGATCTTTGGCTTTCTGGAACGGAGACAATTTGCTGTGGAGAGTTAATAAATGTGTCAGGTTCACGGATTTTTCTCTTAGGACTGTAGTTCTCAAAGAGTTATTTTGGAAATCAGTATAAAGAGCTTCTGTTGGAGTAACTTGATGGTTTTAGCTTGGTCTGGAAAAATGTTGCTATGGGGACCCAGCTACAGTGCTGGGCATTTGTGGCTGGCAGAGGGAGAGCAGGCTGCAGAAATGCTAATGGCACTGGGGGGAGCTTATCAGGGCTGGCTCCTTCACCCCTGAGCAGGATTAAGCTCTGAAAGTTGCAGCTATTTTCTGTCCCCAGTAAATTATGGAGAACTGCATATTTATTTATGGAAGGACTTCAGGACTTCTTATCACAGGTGACAGCTGCACAGGCACCCCACGGCAGGACACACCCCAGCTGTGTTGGCAGTGACTGAGGCAGTTACTGCACGTGGGGAGGGCCTGAGGGCAGCCCAGTGTGTCTGTGCAGGCTGGACCAACTCTGCTCCAAGGTGTTTATTTACCCTCTCCCCTAAAATGTCAGTGATTCCTTCACACACCGCCGCTTTCATTGCAAAAATATTTTGCTCAACGTCCTAGGGAAAAATAGGTTTTGTCAACATGAGAGAGTCCAGCAAAGTAGGAGCTGTTGGAAACTTGAACCAGGTGGTTGTAGAGAAAGAGTTACTCTGTATTTTGAGTGTTTACAGATCTGGCTTTACTGAAGGTTTCAGGGAGGGTCCATATTTCATGTGTTCTTGCTGTAAATGGAGTCTCGTGTCCCACCAGGCCGACGGTGCAGGAGGACGGTGGAGATGTGATTTATAAAGGCTTTGAGGATGGGATTGTGCAGCTGAAGCTGCAGGGCTCGTGCACCAGCTGTCCCAGCTCCATCATCACCCTGAAGAACGGGATCCAGAACATGCTGCAGTTCTACATCCCCGAGGTGGAAGGCGTGGAACAGGTGGGTAGGGAGGGGGCAGAGCTGTTTTCTGTTCAGTTGGAAAGGAGGGTTTGGTGCCTTTCCAGCCTGCACAGGTTGGCAGTTCAGGGGAAAGAACTGGATGCAGAGATGTTGATTTCCAAGTCAGGAGCTGTATCTTGGCCAAGGCTGTGGAACACTGCAGGATCCTGTGCAAGCCCCCGAGCTGGGATGCCTGGCTGGTGAGCAGCGTGGCAGCCAAGGACCGGTGCTGGAGGGTGCCAGGCTGCCCCTGAGCAGCCTGTGCCTCATGGCAGAGCTGCTGATGGTGCTGGCAGCAGCCTGAGGGAGGTGGTCCCTTGCTGGACTCTCTCCAACATGCCCGTGTCCCTCTTCTACCGAGGAGCCCAGATCTGAGCACTGTTTTCTGCTACCCCTGTGCTTTGCTGACTTGATCTGATAAAAAGCAACGAGCTTCTGTGCCCTGAAACGCAGATCCTTTTGCTTTCTCATGAAATATCTGATACCTGCAGTGATTGTTCTCGTGGCTTTTGTGGAAGCTTGACCAGTTCCTGTTATTTCAGGCACGTTTCCAGTGGCATTTTGGATTGCAGGTTTTTCTCACCTCCTTCAGGTGCCTGTTGTTGTTCAGGCTGTGGGATAACTGCTGTTCTGCTCGGGCCCAGCAGGGTTTGATGTAATAAATCCTACGGGGCTGAGAGTTTAAACTGTTTACCTAAACCACTGCTGGATTTGATTTCAGGTTGTTGACGACGATGATGACGTGGAGAAAGAAGCAAATTCTACCTGAGTTGCATCATCTGTGGCCAAATAAGCCTTTACCTCCTGGTGCGTGTAAACCATCTGTGTGCTGAGGAACAACCACGTCTGCCTTTTCAGAAACATCGTTGCACTTCCCTGTGAAAGTGTGTCATCAGTGTAAGCAGCTTGTCCACTAAGTTATTAAATGCCCTCCATGAAAAAAAAATCCTTTTGCTCTCCCTTACACTGTGTCTTAAGAAAGAAATGGTGGGCTTGAAAAACGATCTCTCTTCGTTGTTTCATACAGATAATTCAGGAGTGACAAAAGAGAAGGCAGAAGTAAAGTTTTGTGACTGTGCAATAGGAATAGATGTTTATTCCCCTAAAGCTCCATGGGGCTGGCAGGACTCTGCCCTTGCTCTGTACCTGGGGAATCAGGACTGTTAATTTTATCAAGTCTTTTTAAAAAGCTTTTGATTCCTGTCAATTTTTTTGTGTGTAAAAAATACCCCATAACTTCAGCTGTTGGTTTCAGAGGATGTAACACTGCCATCACTTGTGGGAAGTTACCTGCTTGCTCATTGCCACTGTGCAAACAGCAAAGAAAAACAACAAAAGATGGGAGCTGTTTGTTATAGAAATCATATCTTTTAAAGTAAATGTTAGAAGAAGACGATCCTATCAGCTTCAGTAAGTAGAGAGACTAATTGGCTTATTTAGAAGTAAAATCATTGAGCCACCATCTGTTTAAACATGCAAAAGCTTCTCGAGGACGTAATTCTCCACCTTCCAGAGGGAAGTGCGGTGCTTAAGGGCAGGAATTGCGCTCGGTGGCGGGGAGAGGGACTGTTTGCTCCTGCCCTGTCCTGTTTGTTCTCCGGCAGGGCCGGCAGGACTCGGCTGCCCTGCCCCGGCTGCTGCAGGAGGGGGGCGCGGCAGAGCAAACACCTTCCATCCCAGAGAGCAGGGGAGGGGAAACACTGATTGTTCTGACACTGAAATACGTCAGTCGGGCTTTGCAAGGAGTCCTTGTGTTCGCCTGTGTGTGTGGGAAGGATTTCTTCCTGGTGCCTGGCTCTGGGAGTGGAAATGCTGTTTCTGCTGTGTGCTGCCCCACTGAGCTGAGCTGGGGTCGTTCCTTGGCCTGTGCTTGTGTTCTCTTCCTGCAAGGATTTGACAGGGGCGTGTTCCCCCTCTCACTCCTTGCCAGGGTAATTATTGCCCTGAGTCCCTCAGCAGGATGGATTCAGTGGGTGGAGAATCTTTTCCATAGCAGCTCATCAGCGTGGGGCAGCCACAAACTTCATATGGCCTGTTAGAAATCTGAAAATAAATATTTTAGCTAAATATTCCTGCAGCTTTCATGGAGAGTAATAACCCACAGTAGTTTAAATTACCCACTCAGGATTTGGAAATGGGTCTGAAATCACCATGTTTTCTTTACCCAGTGATGAAGTACACAGTGCCTGATCTTACAAGAGCATTGATGACAAAATTCCCCTCAAGGCAGGCTCAGACTGCCCCAAAGAGAGCTTGTGCAAACATCAGTGCCATGTTCTCCATCAGCAAACCATAGAACGGCGAGTCATGGCTCTGGTTTCTCAAAAATAGACCTTTTTAGGACTGAATTCTCAATTTAATGCACTGTATAAGCCAAAACCTGAACAGCAAAGCAGCTGCTTGTGTGGTAAATAAAATGTGCCTATGAAAGATGTGGTGGTCACTCTTCAGTTAAGCAGTACCAATCTCCTCCAGGTACTGGAAGGATATTTGCAGTCTTGTTTTTAATGGGGGTTTGATTTGTGCAGAGAGGACCAAATTAAGCCTGTGTGTACAGAGGGTGAAAATCACCTGGTGATCTTGAGCCTGAAAAGATTCCATGTCCATCGTGTATCCCGTGTGTCCTCAACTTCCTCCAGCTCTGCCCTGGGGAGAGGAGGTCACAACACATCCCACCCTCTTGCATCTGCTCTGCCCCCCACAAAGCTCCTCGGGGCAGCCCAAGGCAGTGGGGGCTCCAGCTCGGGATGAAAGAGCAGAGGGAGGGTGGGAAGTGCCAGTTGTCCCTTGGGAAACAGCACAAACCCCGGGCGTGTTCCCAGCACCGACAGCAGCCGTGGGCACCAGTGCTCTGATAGCCCAGCGTGCCGAAACCATCAGCCCAAACCCCCTGGAGCTTGTGGGGACCTCCAAGCCCTGGAACAGCTCAGCCCGTGGAAGGAATCCCTGTTAGTGAGAGGTGTCCCATCTCCTCCACTCACCCAAAAACCCTCTCATGGGAATACAGCAAATGTTCAGCTTGGGAGTGGTGAGGTGGCCACGTCCTCTGCGGCAGGGACGGGCTGTTCTCAGCTCTGTGTGTAAAGCTGGGGGCTGGGGAGCCTCTCAGGTCACCGAGGGGTTTTTGACTATAAATTGCAGTTAGTCATTATAAATATAATGACTACTTTAAATAAAGTAAAAATGGCTGCTCGAAATTATTCTGGTGTGTTTTTAAAGGAAAAAAAAAAAGAGAAGTCCTGTGGTATTTTTGGTGTGAAATAGCTAAGTGCAGGGTTACAGCCTGCCAGGGAGGCATTTTGTTTTCACCCCTGTCAGAGGATACACAACATGCATTCCCTTTTTCGAGGCACTCTTCTAGCCCTCCCTCACAGAAAAAGCTGATTACAGCCATCTCAACTCTTGTCTCATAACTGTTTGCAGGTGGACACATCTTTTTTTGTCAGGATGTGGCTCATCCCGAGTCTCTGGCAGGAATTGCCCTCACATTATGTGGGAGGAAATCATTCACATTACCTGACATTAATCTGGTTATCAGGGATATAATAATCTAATCTGGTTATATATCAGGGATACAACTCTTTTCCAAGGGGTGGTACTTTGCAATCTGTCTAAAATTCAGGATTTGAGCCAGAGCTTCTGTTCCAAGTGTTAATTTTAAAAGGCTCCTGGGTGAGAGTTTGGGAAGCTTTGTCACCCTTCTCTGCTGATAAGTTGCACTTCACATCCACACAAACTACTACATAATGGTAACAGCGTGTCCTGCATGTACAGCAAACCTCAGAATAACAAGTTACACGGTGGGAAATGCTGGCTTTTATGAGCAAAAAATCAAATAGCCACGTCAGGATTAAACACGAGGAGCTGGATTTCTGTGTGTGTGGAGTTCTGAGGGACTGGTGAGCGCAAATGGAGAGTTACTCTCAGTTTGGGGGGTTTGTTTTTTAACCTGTGGCACAGGTTCAAGCTGTGCAGTTGGCTCTTGGCTGTGCTGCTGACACCAGCTGAGTGTGGGGCCCCCCTTGTTACACACCCTGGTGAAGCCTCTCGGATTGTATCGACATAATGCTGCGTGTTATTTCAGGTTTGTAGCAGATACATGAAATTCCATCAGTGATGAGAAGTCCTGGAGCTGCTGCAGGGCGGGGAAGGAATTCCCAGCACAGAACCAGAGCACGAGGTGCCTGGGGAACCTGAACCCTGTGCACTCACATCGCTCCTTGTTTTCTGGGCTTTTTAAGGAAATGTTTCTTTGTTGACTTTAATTTAGAGTAAGATAAACTGGAACGAATGGCATTTTTCATTAAGGGATCGCTTTCTTTTGTAGCCTTAGGCTTTCAGTAAGTTTTCCAGCAGGGTTTGATGGTGGTAGTTGCAGGCAGGCAGTGTCTCAGCTCTCCAGCTGCAGGGATATCACTCCTTTGTCACTCGTGCCCGGCCCTGGTTTGCTCTGCAGATTCATCTTAATGGATCCTTTCTCTTGCCTCTCAATAGGTGCTGTTGTAGAACAGTCAGAGTAGGAAACCAGAGGCCAGGCCACGTGGATCTGGGAGGATTCACGCTGTGCCACGGGGGTACAGGAGGGGTTGTTTGTTCCCTGCCTGAGCTTGGAGAAGCTGTGGCTCTGGAAAGGCCTGGGGATGATCCCGAGGGTGCTGCTCCTGTCTGGTGTCAGTGGGAATTACTGGGGAGGGGCTCTGGGAACGGGTCTACTCTCCCATGTCTTGGGGCTGGGAATTACTGTGGGAGGCTTCAGGGAGCAGACACAACCTCCATTGCACCTCGGGGCTAGGAAATACCGAGGGGGCTCAGGGAATTCATTCACCTCCCGAGTTTCAGGGCTGGGAATTACCAGGGGTCTTTAGGAATGGGCACACAGCCCCTCCCATTGCCTCTGGGCTGGGAATTACTGGGGGGTGGGTGGGGAGCTCAGGGAATGGGCACATATCCCCTGTATCTCAGGGCTAGGAATTACCAGAGGGGCTCAGGGGAATGGGCACACACCGTCTTCCAGTGTCCCAGGGCTGGGAATTACCAGGGTTCTCAGGGAATATCGCCTGTATCTCAGGGCTGGGAATTACCAGGGAGGTTCAGGGAATGGACAGACAGCACCCGTGTTTTGGGGCTGGGAATTACTGTGGGGTGGGTGGGGAGCTCAGGGAATGGGCACATATCCCCTGTATCTCTGAGCTGGGAATTACAAGGGAAGGGGCTCCGGGAAGGGGCAGACCCCCCCCAAACTCGTGTCTCAGGGTGGGAATTGCGGGAGGGGGGCTCCAGGAAGGGGCACACACCCCTGTACATCAGGGCTGGGGGGTCTCAGGGAATGGACAAACCCCCAGTCCGTGTCTCAGGGAGGGAATTGCGGGAGGGGGGCTCCAGGAAGGGGCCCACCCTTCCCGTGCCTCAGCACTAAAAGGGTGTGTGTGGGGGGGGTCAGGCTCACCCTCCCCGTGTCGCGGGGAGTGTTCCCGTCCCTCAGGGAGTGGGGGCGGGCGCCGCTTTGTCCCCGCCGGGCCCTGCCGGCGGACGCGGCCCCGGCTGCGGCTGCCACGTCCCGGGGGCCGGGCCGTGCCGGGCGGGGCGAGCGGCGGGGCGGGCCCGGGGCCTGCGCGGTGCCCGCTCCGGGGGGCGCGGCCCCGGCGCCTCAGACAGCGCGGCCGCCGGGCGGGAGCACCATGTGCGGTGAGGACGGGCCGGGCCGGGCCGGGGGCGGCGGGCAGGGCCGGGCAGGGCCGGGTGTGCTCCGGCCGGCCGGGGGAAGGAGGCTCCGGGCGCTGCCGCCACCGCCTCGGGGGTGGCGAGCGGCGCCCCGGCCCCGTTATCCCGGCTGTTATCCCGGCTGTTATCCCGGTGTATCCCGGGTGCCATCCCGGTGCCATCGCCCTGGTGGGGAGGGGAGGGGGCGGCTCGCTCGTGTTAATGCCCTGAAAAGACGAATTGTCCCTCAGCGGTGACAGAACGTGGCCCCGGCGGACAAAAGGCCCCGGCGGCTCGGACGGGGCCGTGCGGGGGTGCCGGGGCCGGGGTGGCTCGGGCAGCCCAGGCGGGGGGCCGGGGCCCCCGGGCTGTGGGGGTCCGGGGACAGCCCCGGGCTGTGGGGACCCGAGCGCCGCTGCTGCCCGCCCGGGGGGCTCAGCCCTGGGGGGGGTTCCTTTGGGGCTTTACAACTTGTGATACGGGGGGTTCACTCGGCTTTGCTCGGAGCAGGCTGGGGCAGACGGGGAGGGGGTCCAGCCGGGGATCAGGAGTGCCCGGGGCTGGGACCAGCTCGGGGCAGAGCGGCGGAGCCTCCCCGAGCTCAGCTCGGGACACACCGGTGGATCCTCCCCGGGTGAGCAGCAGGTCGGGCCAGCGAGGCCGGTCCTCCTCTCGCCGAGGTCCTTTCCACCCCATTTGCTGTATTAGTACAACCACTCCGCCTCTTCTTTTGGACGCAGGAATATCATTGATGCTTTCTCTTTCTCTCCTGTCGTCTTCACGTTTTTTTTTCCATGCATATCTCTGCAACAGTGATCTTTTGGTTCTTCTTGTTGTCACTCAGCATTTACCTTCTCTTTTTTCGGTAGTTTTATGTGCAGAATCAAAGTGATGCTCTAAGCAAGATTATGGGGTTTGTACCTAATGTGCAAGTTGCCATTTCTCTCATTGTTTATTTGGGATTGAACTGGCATCACCTTCAAACTCCTCCATTGCCTGGCCAGCATGTCCAACTTCGTGTCCTCTTTCAGGACCTTCTTTACCAGGGAGCTGGGAATCAGTTCTCTTTGTCAGTCTTCCTTTTGAATAGAACTCATGTTGTATTTCTGTAAATTGTGTTTCTTATTGTACATCTGCCCTTGTCAGAGGAAAGTGAAGGTAAGGCGGGTCAGAAATGCACACCCCAATTTGCAGTCAGGTGGCACCAGCTCTCTCTTCAGCCTACTGAAAATACTAAAGTGTAAAGCCATCGAAGACACAATAGTTTCCACACCAAAACCAAGTAAAAATTCAGTGAAGATTTGAGCTTCCCTTCTTATGGAAGTTGTGGAGCACTGTGAAGAGGCCATAAGGAACTCCAGCTTACATTTAACACTATGTTCATTTGTGTTAGAGGTACAAAGTGGAGCAAAGCTAAGAATAGAAGGGATAATTATTATTATAAATAGCTTGCTGCAGGAATAGAGGGATGGTTTGGGTGCCTCGTGCTTGCCTTATGTGAGGTCCAGCCTTTGAAATGTGCAGTATTAACTTCCTGCTCTTTGTCTTTTTGTGTGTGTGATAAGCCCCAAAAGTGCTGGGGGGAGTTACTTAGTTGTGTTCAGACTTAATGTGTTTCTCCTCTTTATGATATAAACAAAATTCTCCTTGGATATTGAAACATTTTATGAAGACCGTGAGAAAAGCATCAGTGATTGTTGACTCTGTTGCTGAGTCTTGTCCTGGGGGTCAG